CAGGGCTTGAACTTTCCAGTGTGAGAGTTTCAGATAAACCAGCTGAGAACAAACTCCTTTGTGCAGGTTAAGAAATTCTTTATGCCCTTCTGGGACAATTTCCTAAAGTGCATAACTCACCTTCACAACAGAGGTGCTGCTTTGCTGAACCTCAGAGAGATGTTCTGAGTTACTCAGGTACTTGCACAGTGCCCACCCTGCCAATGGGACATCCCAGGAAAGGGCTCCTGCAGCTGCCTTCCAATCTCCCAGAAGCAGATTGAGTCTTGTTTCTCTTTTCTGTGCTGCATGTTTTACTAGAAATTAGAAGTCAGAGAAGTTCATGTCACCCTCAGAACAGAGAATGGGAGGCTACTGTGAATTCTTAATTCCTGTTGGACTTTGTTCTGCAGTTCAGGCTAAAAATGCAGTATTCAAACACCCAAAAGCCTTTTCCCTCTCTTTTCCGTGAGGGGAGTGGAGCTGAGCTGCCCCATCTCAGACTACAGAAGCTCAAAGCATGGTATTAGCTCCCTGAAATGTGGCCTTAAGAGCTTGGTTTCTTTCACTTTAAAACAAGCTTAGTGACTATTTTTGAAACAAACAGTATGGATTTGCTTGGGTATTGGTTCGTTCCCAATAGTTTGGAGACTTCTTCAATGCAGCAGCTGCTGCTTGCACAAGAGGAGTCTTTCTTGATGGGCCATCAGCAGGACCCAACACTTTACTGTCCAAGACAGTTCAGGGGGAGTTATTAACTTAAACAAAAACTACATTTGTTTCCAAAGCATGTCCAACATAAGCATGACTCAGGCAGAACACAGGGCATAAACTGATAGGTCTGTACTAGATCAGAAGCCCAAGAGGATTTTCTAACTCCAGTAGGCATCAATGTCTTAGTGAGAAGGCACTGAATTTGAAGAGAGAAAAGCCTTCCTTCCTGTGGTAAGGAGCTGTGAATCACCAGATTGGGTATTTCAGCAGCAATTTGTCTGGATACAGGCTGATTTTTTTTTTTTTAATCAAGTTATTTACAAGAAAACTTTATACAAAATAAACAACCTTTCTATAAAAACTCTATTAATAGTCTCTTCTTTCTGTGTCCCACTCTTTGTTTTCCTGATTGGCAGATCCATCTTTCCTTACCATATATGACAAAGAAGGATACTCCCATGTTCATGCATTGGCACAGATTTTATAATTTTGATCCAACCCCACTCAAAGCAGGTCTTACTAGACCAGGTTTCTCAGGCCCTTCTCCAATGAAAATCGGGGCATTTTAACAGGGACCTGAGGTAAAATCAAGCTCTGAGTGCTGGAATTTAACCTTGGCTTACTTTTGTATAGAGAGCGTACATATTTCACAAAATAAAAAAAGGTAATTTTCTGTGAGAGACAGTTGTAGTTACAAAGGCATTGGCAGTTTCTCTCCCAAAGTCAGAGTTTCATTTTGTGTATTTTCACACCACCTTTACAGACATTGTATCTGAATTCAGCAGATGGCAGGGCCTAACATGTGGCTCTGAATAATCTTCAGTAAAACACAAACCTGCCAAAAATGCATGGAGAATTAGGTACTCCATGGTCTGTGCTTCTTCACTGCATGCCTCCATTCTGGAGTAACTTCATTTCCACTGATAATCTGTCCTGACAGCTTTGGGAGAATCCACCCCATCAGCCAGTTTATCCATATACCTACAGGCTACGGGTCAACAACATCAGTGTCCCTTCCCATGACTTTGCTCTTCATGGCAAGCTAGGAATGCCATGTTGGTGGAGCCAACATGGAAGCTAGGAACAACAGTGATTTTTAAATGTTGATACAGAGTTACATTTTATTGTTCTGTTTCTAAGCCTCTGGGCAGCTGTGCCTATCTTCTCTTCGAATTTCTGCCTTGGTGTCCAGTGTTCCTGGACAGACACCACATCTACAAATGGTCCTTTCAGCAAGCTGGTCCAGTTCAGACATCTGCTGTGGTTTGTATTTTGCAAACTTAATGCAAATATTAACATGCAGCACCTAATTGTGCTTTTTTTGGAGGGATCATGTACTGCTCAGATAAAGAGCAGTAATAATAGGTAATAAGCAATTAAATGTTTTCCTTTATAGAAGCCAAGTGTTTACCTTTTTGCTTTTTTAAAAACAAAATGTTGGGTTAGTTGTTTGGTTAAATGTAATAAGTGCACTGCATTCCCCTCATGATGCAAGTTTATTCCTTTGATTATTTAAGGACACACAAAACCACTGTGAGATATTTTTTAGAGGCACAAGTACCCCCAAAGTATGATTATGTGTGATGGAAGTATGTACTCTTTTCCAGCATAATTTTAATATCACTGTTATTTCTGCACAGTATGGTCAGTGTGATGGGTCTGCATACTAACAGTGACATCATCTACTATGATTCTTCATTCCATTTTCTGACTTGAAAAGGCTCCCATTCCTAAATTAAGTGAAAAATATCATATCCATTCACCTTTTTACCTGTGTGTCCTCAAAATCTCTGTGAGGACCTGTAATCCTGTGCTTGGAGTGCTGGATTGAAGGGTTGGAAGGCCTGGAAAGGCACACACCAGCTATTATCCATCTGGAAATACATTTATATACTTCTGAAGAGTTAAGAATGCAAGGTGGGCTTCAGGGGATTTTTTAAAGTGTATCTAAATGTCTGACACAGTTTTTTTTTCAAGAAGACTCCTATAGATTTTCTCTAATAGCCTGTGAGGCCATATTGCAGATGACATCAAAAATAAAACACTTCCAAGAACTTCCTTCCTATATCAGCTTCTAACCAAAGCAGGAACAAAAGGACTCAAACTGACTCTGACTTTGAGGAAGAAGACCACCATTACGGCACCTTCTTGGTCTCAAGAGGGTCTTAGATAAGATATTTAATTTAAAATATTTTTAATCTATATATTAGATGCTTCTGTTGTGGTGGAGAAACTTTAATACACCATGGGGTTTGTGTCTCTGTTAGGATGGGAGAAATGGAATGTAAAGCAAACACTGTAAAGCAGGGAAGGCTTTATGTCCATGTCATGTGCCACAGCTTCCTTCAGCAAAAAAACCCATGGATCAGGAGGGGCAGCATGGAGGAAAACAGAGGAGCAGAAGCACAAGGCCTTTGACTGGACTGCACTGTCAGCTCCTTCAGAGGTTTCTCTGCTGACTGGCAGCCTGGCAGGCTCCTCAGGCTTCCTACAAGCACTGGCCTTGCCATGCAGCTGCACAAGAGAGGCTCAAGAAAGAAGACAGTGTTGTGGAGAGAGAAATCAGGGTTTCGCCTGTCCTTGTCAAGGCCAAAGGGTCACTGCAGCAGCCAAACAAATGGAGAAATGATGTCATTCTGCAGGCAAACACTGGGTCTCTCTAGTAAAAATGTGCCAATGTCGAGGATTGCAGAGTCATATTCCTGAGGGTATGACGCTTGTCCAGCAGTCCTTGTGCTATACTTCCCTCCAGGAGTACTGGCCTGCAGGATGGGGAGAAAGAAATTAAAGCAAATAATCAAACCTATAGCCCTAGAGTTGGTGAATGATTGTAGTGTGGATTCATATAAACTGCAATCCTGATACACCATTTATACAGCATCAGTATTTTTCACTAAAAAATTCTGCTGAGCAACTGATGCCTATATAACTTAGATCAAAGTTACAAGATGCTTATTTAGCTTGAGTTATAAGATACCCATATAACCTGCTATCAATATAACCTAAATCATGACTTTTATATATCTATATCACCTGATACCTATATAACATGAATCACAGCTTTTTATACCTATATAACCTGAGTCATAACTTTTGTATCTATATAACCAGATATAAATAACTTTTTATACCATATAATGGCTAGTATATGGTTAACTAGTTGCTTAATGCTGAATGGACTAAAAAAAAAAGGAAAAAACCTCACCACGTGGATAGTTTCAGAGATAGACAAGTTTAGTACTAATGAAAAATTGGAAAGTGCAAAGTCAATTAGCCACAAAACAAAGAATTTAGGCCAATTAAGACCAGACAGACCAAGGAACAGCATAACTGTGCATGCTCCAAAGACAAAGCTGAAAAGTTCAGATGGAAAGAAGACTTTGGAAGCCTTCATCAAAGACCCCCGATGACCTCTGAATTGGGGAGGTGCAAGCACAGTGCAAAACAACTATTTAGAACCCTGAGATCACACTGTGTCAATTAGTTCTGGCATGTATATGATGATGTTTTAGTGACACAGTAACACTAAGCAATAGTTACTGTATAAATATACCACAGCACTTGACACAGGTGGGTGAGTTAGGAGGAGAAATCCCCCTCACCTCCAGCACTGCAATAAACAAACACCTGCTCTATAGACACCAGTCTATGTGCTTTTATTTTCAGCCTCTCTTTCAGGCATCACAACAGAGACATTTGCATGTCATTGCAATATGGGTCAGTATGTGGAATTTTGGGGAAAAATTTGTCTTGCAGCTGTGCACCTCAGTGTGGGCCTTTGGTCTGACAACCATGATTTTCACATGCACATTTTGTTACAGGACATCAGAACTTGCTCCTTCATTAAGCCTGATACTGTAGCATCACGTTTTGCTTTTCCATATGCCATCTGGAAAATATGTTTCCATGCTAGATTTTCCAGTGAGGAAAAGCAGTGTAACACTTAGGAAGTCACCGAAATGGCACCCTCGGGCACATGGTGTGACTTTTGGGAATGGTGCTGGGCAGGCCAGGAGTGGGACTCAATGGTCCTGATGGGTCCCTTACAATTCAGCATATTCTGTGGTTCTGAAAATTTTCAACACCCGGGCATCTCTTACAGCTTGTTGTCTGCTTGATTGAATCTCCCTGTTTGTCGATTAGGCCTGAAAGCACACAAAGACCAAACAGCAAAGAACGCCTTTTCCTAAAGAAATTTCCACACATTGCGTTTCCCAGCGAGGGGGCTGGCTCAGGGGACGGACTACATTTCCCATGAGGCTCTGCGGGGCGCGGCAGAAATGCATCACTCGCGGTGGCTACGGAAGGCGCCCGGCGCGCCCCCAGCATGGCGGCGGTGCGGGTGCTGCGGGTGGTGGCACGACAGAGGCTGGGGCTCGGCCCCGCGGGGCTCAGGGCGCTGTGGGGCGGCCGCAGGTACCCGCAAGGCACAGGGTGGCTTCCGGGGGTGGCTTCTGGCCTTGTCCGCATGTTGGGCCTGCACCGGGCCGTTGCTCTCTGGAGGTCATTTAGCCCGGCACCGCCTGAGCAAAGCCCTCAGGGTTTGTCCATGGCTTTGGAATGTCCTTAGGGAAGGAGACTCCACAGGTTCTCTGGGCAAGCTGCGCCCACCGAGGTGCACTGCTGGTGGGGGTGCAGTGGTGCAGGGCTGGAGCCTTTAGAGCTATTACTGCTTTTGTTAAGAGTGGGAAGAGAGGGATTTCGTGGGAATGAAAAACAGTTCCTCTGTAACATTTTGCGTGAAACCGCGCATGGGTTGTTGACTGCATTGGGGCATATGAGAAAGCAAAATTTTTTACTTAAAAACTAGTAATGATTTTTTTTTACATATGGACACTGATTTTCTTCTGTAGTAGTGGTTATTTTCTGATATGCTTTTTATTCACAGCAAATTTTAGAAAACGGAGCTGTAACAGAAAAGAAGTAACTAATCTTATTAAAATGCTGTTTTCACTCAGACCCATGATAGAAGGTGGGTGGATGATTGCTCTGTGGAGGCAGCCTGTGTGGGGAGCAGCACTTGGGGAAGGCCTGTGCACTTCTGGCCATCAGACCTGATGAGTCCATGGGATGTGTAGAATGTCTGGATTGAGTGGTTTAAAACACAACGAATACAAAAATGCTCTGACTCGGTCTTGAGTAGCCAGAGACTGAGAATGTGTTCTGGTGCCAGCAGGAAGGAGGAAAGAGCAGTGGAAGCAGACGGAGCAGTTCCTGAGAAGGAGGAGAGGAGCGAGCCCAGCCTGATGCACCCCCTGCCCCGCTGCCAGAGCTACGTCCCGCCCGAGGACCTGCAGAGCTGCCTCGAGTCCCACGTCAGGGAGGTCTTCGGGCCCTCTGTTCCCGAGGACTGGCAGCAGGCTCCGCTGCAGGATAAGCGGCTGAAGCACCGCTTGCTGGCCCGGCTGGCGGCAGAGCTGGGACACGCCGTCCCCAACTCGCAGCTGCACTGCATGCGCCGTGCCAGGGACGTGCTGGGCTTCTACCGCACCCCCGTGAGGGACGGCAGCAAGATCGATGAACTCACGGCCGCAGAGCTGCCCCCGAACCTGAAAATCATCTGGCAGCAGTGAGTCCCCCCACGCAGCATCCCTGTGCCTGGCTGGTGCTGCAGGGCAGCAGCAGAGCCTTCTGGCTGGGGTGAGATCTGTGAATTTCAGTAATAAAGGTTCACTGAGCTGTGCTCAAGTTTGGCTGTTGCTGTTCTGCTCTTTTTTCCCTGCCGACCAGTTCTTGTGAGATGCAGTGTGGGCACTGCCGGCTGCCCCTTGCCCTTGCCCTGCTGCTGGGCACCGACAGGATCCAGTGAGGATCAACAAGGGGGCCATTTCCACAGTTTCTACTCTGCACCTCTGTACTGGTTTTGGTTTTGGCTGAGGTGGAGTTAATTTTGTTCCCAGGGGCTGTTATGGGGCTGTATTTTTGACCTGTGCTGAACTCAGGGCTGATAATACAGAGATGTTTTTGCTATTGCTAAGCAGGGCTTGCACAAAGCCAAGGCCTTTTCTGTTATTCTTCCTGCCACACAGGTGAGGGGATTGGGGGTACATGGAAGGGGACACAGCCAGGACAGGTGACCCAAAGTGACCCAAGGGATATTCCAGACCATATGGCATTAGGCTCAGTGTATAAAAAAATGGGGGAAGAAGGAAGCAGGGGATATGTGGAGTGATGGCATTTGTCCTTCCAAGTCACTGAGATGTGCAGTGGGACCCTGCTCTGCTGGAGGTGCTGAATACCAGCCTGGCCATGGGGAGCAGGGTATTAATTCCTTATTTTGCTTTGCTTGTGTGTGCAGCCTTTATTTCTCCTATTAAACTGTCCTTACCCCAACGCACGACTTTCACAGCTTTTACCTTTCTGATTCTCAGGACCATGGCAGTGTGCTTCCCAACTGCTCACACTGTGGCTCACAGATATCTTCTGCTTTCCTTCTGTTTCGCCGCTGTGAAATCCAATGCCTGTGTGGCAACTCTGGGGATGTGCTTGGCAAGCACTGGAGCACAGATGCCAAGCTCTGGAATGCTTTTTCCAGGACTGATGAATGGCACTGTAGCTGTCTGCCTGCCTGGATTTCTTCGTATTGTTCCTGGCTGGCCCAGATCTGGCTGTCAAGACAATTGAAGGTGTTGCCAGCCGGACTGGTGAGGATTAGTCTGTGCTAGCCTTCAGGATGCTGTGATCTTTCCATTTCCCTTTCTCAAGCAGAAAAAACAAACAAAATATGAAAATTTGTTCAATTGACCTGTTTCATATCTTACCATATGTCAACAAGAGCTCTCATTGAATGAAACACTCAACAAAGTCAAAATTTATGATTTCTTTCCAGAATATGAAGTTTGGTGGGTTTTATAACACACAATTCAGTTGAGTTTACTTCTGCTTTTCCTTATATTTACTTTCAGTTGAAAACATCAGAACACTGCATAATTGCAGTATAGTGTTGCCTAAGTAATCCATGAATTTGTGGAACATGCCACCAGACTTTACAACTTTACATCCCTGAGTTGTGGATCAGGGATACATTCTCCTTAAGCACCCAGACAGTTTCTATTTAAAGGAAAAAGTAACCATTTAATTCTTGTCTCTGGAGATCAGCTGTCTGCTTTTAGCTGTTTGCTTTTTTGGTGTTCAGGTTTTTTTCTCACGAGTTCATACAGAAATTCTTGTAGATAAAAGAGCAGTTTATATTTTAATCTTTCTAAAAGTACAGTCACAGAAAGCAAAACAAATCTTCATGAAATTCTGAAGCAGAAAAAGGTAGGTATTTCGCATAGCATTTTCTATTTCTAGAATCCTGTCAGTAAGTCTGACACTAATGATTGGATCTCCTCTTCCTGGAGATTTCACACCCTTAGAAAAAGACAGATCCCTGGAGAATAATTTATACCTACACAATTGTGGATTCTTTGGGGCTCTATTTACTTCTGTTGGCAAATGGAACAGTGAAATATGAGGAACACAGAATTTACTAACTGGTTCTAGTTAGGCAGTCAGATTATAAAAGAAAATATAGACAAAAGTCATAAATTCATAATGGAAAGCTGGACAAGGACACCAACCCCCAAGTCTTCATTTCCCTGTCTCCTGAAGCTGGAAGTTTCTCTTCTTTCTTCCCCTGCTAACCAGGTGGCAAAATCTGCTCCAGAATCAGTGACGGGATCTTTTCAGTGCATGGTCTAGAATCAGAGCAAGGCAGAAAAGCCAAGGATTCTTAAAAAACTCCCAAAAAACAGTAAAGAGTAGAAAAAAAAATGGTCTTCATTTGCTGCTAGGTGTGCCTGGAAAAGGGTAGCGCTTGTTTTGTGTCAGCTGGATGAGGAATTGGGCCAAAATCAAAGTACTTTGGAGGATGCAGTTCAGCCTATTTCCTGTTGTGTGTCCATGAAATGGACTCATCTGAGAGTACGGACCATGGCATTAGCAGTAGACGAAAACAAAGACAGACAGATAAAATTAACTTTGTCTTTAATCTGTAGCAATTATAGAATGTCTAAAATTTACAGACCACAATAAAGGATGGAAATTTAATGAGCAAACATACAGTCTACAAGGGATGTAAGAGTCAGAGATCACAGATCGTAAATATGGGTCTTTGTTCACAATATGTGCACCTGATGGGGCTGTCTTCTCCTCTTTGGAATGTTTTTGTTTGGGTTTTTTTTTTTCTTTTCTGAAGGTAACAGCTGAACACAGATGGCTGGCTGAGAGAAATGAAAATGATCTTGCCTTCTTATTTTCATACCTACAACAGTGGGGGAAAAAGAAGAAAATAAAAATGAGAGAGCAAGAAATATGCCAGATGATGTTCTAGTATGTTAACGTGAAGGAAACTGCAACAAGTGTTGATATTTTGGCATTTAGAACTTGCTTTTACAGGGTTCTAGGTGATGGAACGTGAACGTTCTTCACTTTCTTCTAGTGAAATATTCGCTCTGAAGTGTAAATGAAGACCAAAGAGCTTTTCGCTGCATTAGCTTGCCAAAACGTCTGGATTTGTGTTTAAATAGGTTGGCAACACCGGGTTATCCCCCGGCGAAGAGAGCTCTTTCCCAGCCACACCGACCCCGCCGTTCCCGGACATTCCATACAGTCCCACAGCGTCACGTGACAAGCGGGAAGCGCTCCACGGGAACAGGTCCTGGCAGCTGCACGGGCGTCCCAAAACACTCCCCCTCGGCAGGGAGGCACGGAAGGGAGTCCCGCCGAGCTCGGAGCAGAGTTTCTCTGCGTTTCGGGTCGGGTTCCCGGCTCGGTGGCGGGCGGAGCGCGGCGGGACCCGGCGGAGCGCGGCAGCGCGCGCGGCTGCCAGGACCTGACCAGGCGTTGTTGCGCATGCGCGGCCCGTGCTCCCGATCCTTTTCCGCCGCATCTTTCTCCTCATCCCTTTCCTGATCTTTTTCCTTCTTTTCCTCTTTTCCCCATCCCTGCACCTCTGCCGCTGCGGCCATGGGGAAGCTGAACGTAGTAATGCTGCGGTACCTGTCCCGGGAGCACTTCAGGGTGCTGACCGCGGTGAGCGGGCCGGGCCGGGCCGGGGCGGGCCTGTGGTGCCTCCGCTGGGGCTCCGTGCTGGCCTCTTGTGGGGAGGGCCCGCTTCGGGCCGGTGTCTCCTTCGGCCGCCCGGCTGGGGGGAATCGGGAGGCACAGGGAGTTCTTGGGAATGCTTGGGGGTTCTCTGGGGATGCCATGGAAGTCCCTGGGGATGCCCGGCTGGTCGCAGACCCATCACGGCGAGGCAGCGTCCCAGCGTCTCTGCTCTCGCTGCTCCCTGTGACTGGGACTGAGATCTAATTAGCCCCTCGTGTCGTGCCTGGCACTGAAGAACTTCCCTGGGTGGGTTGTACATAGGCTGCCAAGGAGCAGTGAAGCAAGTGGAAAGGTTTGTTAAGGCTTAAAACGTAGAAAGTTAAGTTTTAAAATCTGTAGTCTTTAAAAACTGCCTATTTGAAAAGAGATTTTACTCTTGAGCAGGATCTGTATTTCATTGTACTTCAACACAGTGCTGACAAATCTGTTTTTAATTACTCTTTTAGGTGGAAATGGGCATGAAGAACCATGAAATAGTTCCTGCTAGCTTAATTGCTTCCATTGCCAGCCTTAAACACGGTGGCTGTAATAAAATTTTGAGAGAGCTGGCGAAGCACAAACTTCTGGCTTACGAACGAACTAAAAGTAAGTTTGAATTTTTGTTGGACTCCCCTTCTTATCTTGTCCCCAGTGCCTCACAGTGGCACCTGCCCAGCAGGTTGGGATGTAGGAGTGCCCAGAGTGTTTGCTTTGCCTTCTCTTGCACTCAGCCTGGAAGTGTGGGTTTGTGCAGCACCAGATGCTGTGTCTGCTTGTATCTTTAGAAGTAAGAGACAGAAAAAAAATGAAGAGTTAACTTTCTTTTTTGCTCAGAATAAGGTAAAAAGAATCATCACTTGAAGCAGTGTTCAAGTGTGTGTAGGAGTCAATCCAAGTGAGTGATATCCTCTCAGTTCTGGAACAGACTACACAATCCTTGGACATTTCACTGCCTCAGGAATAGCTGCTAAAGCAGTATTTGTTATCTAACATCTGATAAGGTGGTGCAGGCCTTTCCCTATTCCCTTCAGCCTTTTAGTTGGATGTGGCCCTGCAAACACAGTGAGGATGTCTGTGTTCTCCCTCCCGGTTCTTCCGAGGATTGAGGGTTGCTCCAATCCAATTTAAACGTTTTCACCATTCAGTCAAATGGGGCTGGTAAGAGCCAAGGGGTGAAATATTACTTGGGTGCTGTGTACTGCAAGAAACAAGACTAAATTGAGATTTATTTTAAATAGTATGTGTGCATAACAAGGAGTGAAATGTGTTTTATTTTTACCCAGCTGTCCAGGGTTATCGGTTAACTAATGCAGGATATGATTACCTGGCTCTGAAAACTCTCTCTTCCCGACAAGTCATCAGTTCTGTGGGGAACCAGATGGGTGTTGGCAAAGAATCAGGTAAAGTCAAATAACATTTTTTTTTTTAATTTTTTAAAGCAAACATATCTGTAATACTGCAAATATTTTGCTAGAAACTAGGGGAGTTTTCCTCTGGATAGGCAGATCAGTTAATCTGTCAAACACCGAGATGTATTTGAACAGAGCTTGTTCAGGTGCTCTGTGAGGCTTCTGGCTGCATTTGAATATTTTTTTACAGCAGTGTAATTGCATTTTGCCCAATTTGTTCATTTCTTAGTTCATTATTTAAAAAGGTACTTTGCAGGCAGGTGCTGCTTGTGTTGTGCTTTGTGAAAAGTTTCAAACCATTTAACAAAAAGATAATTTCAGCTTTTTCATCCCACTTAAAGATAAGGTAGTAAAGTAAAATAGGCTCAAAACTATTGGAACACTATCTTGGTTCCTGCATGTTCATGTAGTTTGACACAGAATGTGACTTTTGTAATTGGAGAAGGGGATTATTTGGGACAAATACTAGAAATGAAGTTTAGGGTATTTGTTAACACTAAATTAGGAGTCTGGTCCCTTGGGTTGTCTGTCCATTGCTCAGGAAGGAAAAGCTCTTCCAGGATGTAGTTAAAAGCACCAGAGCACTGAAAGATACTTCAGATCCCATCAGCATTTCTTCTACTGGAGTACCATGAACTCTTTTAACAGTAATTTCTTCGTGTTCAAACTTTTGATACACATTGTGTAATTAGCTGCCTTTGCTAAAACTTGTGGGTCAGAAAGGGTGAGGAGTGAGGTAACAATCTTTCACTGCACTTTTTCATCTGGCTTGTTAGATATGAGTAATTTCTTAGATCTGTGCTGTGACATATTTTCTAGATATTTATATTGTTGCCAATGAAGAGGAGCAACAGTTTGCACTGAAATTGCACCGTCTGGGGAGAACCTCCTTTCGCAACCTGAAAAACAAACGTGACTACCACAAGCACAGGCACAAAATGTCCTGGCTGTACTTGTCCCGGATAGCAGCAATGAAGGAGTTTGCCTACATGAAGGTAAGTGGCCACTCACACAGAGCCAGCAATGGTAGGACAGGCTACAAGATGCTTCTCAGGCTGTCTTTTGATCACTTTGTGTTCACAGTACTGGCAGGATTTATGCTTCATTTTTATCTCTCCCCTAATGGACCTAAAGTATACATTTCAGAAAGTTTCAATGCAACATGCTTTGTACACTTCCCAGTGCCAAAATTAAGCTTTGCTATTGAAATCACATGGAACAGATTCAGGTATCATGAGAGAATTTCAAATTAATGATGTTATTTATGGATAGATAATCTATATATCACCAGTTCTGCAGTTTTTCCTTCAAAATTTATTGCATAAACTAGGAAGCAGTTGTCGTTTCTTAAAATTAACCTGTTTTTTATTTTACCAAGCTTTCACGTGTTGCTGTGCTGTTGAGGGAAATCTTTCAGATCAAAACTAGTGTTTTGATCTAAAAAGGCACACTTAGTTCTGTGCTGTGAGAAAAGATTTAATTTTACTGCTAATCCTGATTTCTGTGGTTTTTTACCTGCTTCAAAAAACCACAGGTATTGTATAGTGATGAAAGATGATAGCCGAAAACTAATTACTCATAAAAACCTTATTTTCATTTCTCCTTTTGTGTTATTCAAGAGTAATACTTACATGAAATTATTTTCTTGTTCTTGTAAATAAAGAACCGTGATTAATTGTCTCAGTGGCCTCCACAGAGAGAGAAAGAACTAACACCATCATTTAGATGCTCTGTCCAGGTGGTCCGGCTGGTAAAACCTTATGTGGTCAGAACTTGTAGGAATGTTATTGTGGGGTCAGGTTCCCTGAGCAGAGGACTGGGGGAGGTTTAATTGAGTGCTGAAAAGAAGAAATACTTAAGTAACAAAAACTGTATTTATGTTGCTTTAACTTAGGACTCTCTAGAAAAGTTCACTGGTAACAACAGAATGAGTAAAAACAGAATGAACCCATAAAAAAGTTGAGTGGATCCAATGAATGACTAAATTTGTGCTAGAAAATGCAAACAGGAGAGCTTGAAAATATTATGACTTATCTTTGGTTAATCTTAGTGTGGTATAAAGCCGATTATTACTGTTTAGGAATGAACTTGTGTTCACATAGACAAACAAACACATGCTTGTGTTTACAGCAACTGAGTATAGATTGGCTAATCAGGCAGGAGTGTATTGGCAGCAGCTTAGTGCGGAATTCTTTTCTAATGCCAAGAACCCCATTTCCTATTTCTATTACTGATTCCACAGGCTAATGTACCAGGTGAGGTTGTGTCATTTCTCCAGTTTGTTGTGATTTTCTTCTAGATGCATGATAATTAAACTATAGGCAGTGCACTCAGTGTCTAAACTTCTGAATTTTATTGTCTTTGCAGTGGGAAGTCCAATGGCTGTGAGGCTGTTTTCCTTCCTAGGCATGTGATTTGGGCAATATATACTGCTATCACAGTGATATGTACACTTACCTTAGGTGTGGGTTTGTCAATATGTGTAATGTTTCCCTAACAATTTAATTTTAATTTTTCACTGTGTTGTCTCTTTCCAGGCTTTGCACGACAGAGAATTTCCTGTTCCAAAGCCCATAGACTACAACAGGCATGCAGTTGTTATGGAACTTGTTGATGGATATCCTTTGTAAGTAGTGAAAGCTTGAATTCTCTGTGTTACAGAGACCCTGGCAACCTTAGAAAAAGTAACAGGGTTAGGTTTTTTTCTTGTTTTCTACAGAGAAATTGCACATTCTATATGTTACTTTGTATATAGAGTATTAATATCCCTCATGTTCTGAGCTCCACTTTGTGATCCTTGCTCTGTTAATACAGGTGAGTTTGTAACTCAGTTCTGCACTGTTTATAACAGACTACCATGAATAATCTGGTTTTGCATCTTTGAGAAGGATTATTTTGCTTGAGCTTTTCAACCTCTAGAAACATTAAATATTATTGAGGTTTGTAGGTTAAGGGTTGGTTTGGATTTGAATGCAAAAGCATTCAAAACCAAAACCTGTCTCTTTCATACAATAACCAGGTCTAATCCAGAGATTTAAAGTTTCTAGTTACAGAACAAACCAGTCCATTGTGTTGTATAGGATTCAAGATCTTAAGTTTAATCAAAAGGGAAATAATTCCAAAGTAAAGCAGTTGAAAAATAATGTGGAAAAGACTTCCCACCCTCATTTGTTAAATAATTCCACATCCATTGTGTAAACAGAACACTTGAAGTTCCTTGTGGCAGTCTGCAGTGGAAATTTAATTTTTCTTCTTTTCCTAACATAATCTAGAAAATCTGATTTTGTATAAGAAAATGCCCCAAGCCATTTGAATTTCAGCGTAAAAAGATTTAGCTCCTACTGACACGATAAGATTACCTAAAACAGGAAAAACATAAAAGTTTGCTGGTCCATTATTTACATAATGCATTATGACAGCAGTGCTCAGTGGGAGACAGTGAGTGAGTTCAGGTGAGGTTTAGCCTGGATATAAGGAAGTATTTTCCCCTCTTAAAGACAGAGAGGCAGTGGCATAAGTTGCTTGGGAAGGTTTCACTGTCTATCTCCATTCCCAGAAGTTTTCTATCCCAACTAGACAGAGACCTGAGCAGTCTGGTCTGGTCTCTCTCTTTCAGGAGAATGCTGGACCAGAGACCTGAGGGCCCTTTTAATTTGAATTACTCTGGCATTCTGTCAAATGTATTTCATATACTTTATCTGTATTTTTAAATGAAGTCTTTCAAGGTTGAGATTATTTAATTTTACTTAACTTTTCAGGTGCCAGGTGCGCCAAATTGAAGATCCAGCTGCCGTCTACAGTGAATTAATGGACCTGATTGTAAAACTTGCCAATCATGGTCTGATCCATGGGGATTTCAATGAGTTTAATCTCATCTTGGATAATAACGATCATGCCACTTTGATTGATTTCCCTCAGATGATGTCAACATCACATGCAAATGCTGAATGGTAAGTTTAGATCCAAAGGTGTTTTCCAGGTGAATCTGACAAATGCTGATGAAAGCAAACAGTCAACCATGACTTGTTTCCATAAGTCTTCTCCTGAATCTTTTTCTGTGAGTGCTGTGATGCAGCACAAGTAATGTTCCAAACAAAGAATGAGTAGAAATGTCTCTGCAGAATAAATATGTGATTAATTGCTTCTCAGAGATAATAGTGTTTGGTTAAGTGACACTCTGGATACAGAAATGAACTGTATCCAGTTTCTCTTCCTAGCCTTTTGACTTGAGATTACTAATGGAAATAATTTTCAAATAAAACCATGTAGGGTAAATGCTTCTTGTTGCAACAGACTTCACTGATTTTTTGTTTGTACAATTCTGTATTTTTTTACAGGTATTTTAACAGAGATGTTAACTGTATTAAGGAGTTCTTCAAGAAACGCTTCAACTATGAGAGTGAGCTCTTCCCAACCTTCAAAGACATCAGGTAGAAATGACCAGATGAATTTGAGTTCTACTTATGGCACTAGTGTTGGTATTCTGAGAAAAGTGAATTCCTGTGAGAGATGCCTGTGGGAGAAATAAAAAAAATAGGCCCAACTATATAATTTTAAGTTACATTTTTCTCATTACTATTGTGTTTTCCTCAAAGTTACTGTGAGTGGTTTCCGAGTGTGCTTTAAAATCCTGTGCTGCCTTGTCTTCCTGCAACCAAGAAAGAGAGGTCAACCTGAAAGCTTGATCCAAATGGTGAATGTCCAGGAAATTTTAACAGTGATGCAGAATCAGCCTGTTTGATTTTAATTAACAGTTAAATAATCTAATATATTGAAGATTAATTTGGGTTTCTGTTTCAAAATTATTTTAAACGCTTTTAAATAGAGTGGCTGCCTCCTTAGGGATTATTACATTTAAACTTCTAGAGTCTTTTGATCCTTCTGAAAAGTAAAATTACTTTTCACTCATTTTAAGACCAAAACTTACACTGAAACTGTGTAAAGAGACCTAAACTGTTACAATGAAAACGGGTTTATTTCATTCTGAGCACTTTACCTAAGGAGTTCCACACTTTAATCAGCCTTTGTATGTCAGACCCTTTAGTATTCTGTTTGCTTAAGCATGATTTGAACTTAAGCCAAAATGTTATTCCTGCTAAAGTAGAACAGTTTCCTGAAAAAAACCCCAAACCACTATAAATGCAGGTTATGGAGATGCTATCATCTTCTGGAGGAGTTTTCTTCTCTTGGATTACATTCTAAGTTAGTAGTTCACCTAAAGCTCAGCACCATCATGTATTTTGTGTGATTCAACAGTGTACCTTTTTTGTTAATAGTGGGTAATTTTAGTCTAGCTTGGTTAGCATTTTAAACCCAAAATGTAGTATATTGGTAACTTGGCTTATTAAATTTAGCATATTAAAAGAAAACATTTTTTTTCCACAGGAGAGAATGTTCTCTTGATAAAGAGATTGCTGCCAGTGGCTATGCAAAGGAGATGCAGGAAGATGGTGAACTGCTTTACCCTACAGGTTCTGATGAGGATGACAATACAGAGGTGTTAGAACTTCCAGAGGATGCTGAGAAAGAGCTCAACTTCTTCAGCAGAAATGAACAGAACAGTGAAGACTTCACATGTGAAGCGGGTGATTTCTCTGAAAGCAGAGCCTCTGACAGCGCTGCAAGCAGCAGTGAGGAGGAGGCTGATACAGCTAAAAGCAGGGAAAATACACAAAGACTAAATATGGCAGAGTTGAGTTCAGCCTTGGAAGAAGATGAAGGACCAGCTGTGCCTTGGAAGTCCAGTGAAGATGCAGAGAGTTCTGCAGTTACTTCTTTTAAGGGCAAAAGACTAACTGAAAATGCTGCTGAACTGGAAGATCAGGCAGGTCAAGGAGGGTGCCGTGAGGCTAAGGAGAATGAAGAGGAGTGCCCTGAGCTGGTCAATTCAGCTTTAAATGAGGAATTCAGTCATTACAGGTAAAGATTCACATTTACTGTCTAGAAGTCTGGCCCTTTCCTTGGCCCCAAAAATGGATATGTGTCAAGTAGCTCTAGAAGGACTGCTCTTCAGCTGCCCTTGTTTAAACTGAAGACTAAAAATTAAATTTATTTTGAAAATATACCAGTAAATACCCTTCCTGTTGGTGGTGTGGTTGTCCACCTCTGTTGTATTTATCTAATGAGAAAACAGGTTTTGAACTTCAAAGACCAACCTGTTTTCTGTGGTGGATTTTTTCCCCTTTTTCTTCATTTCAGCTAATATTGACAGTGAAGGAGTTCTTGATGTTAAAATACTGCTTCTAAATAACTTCCCTGAGGAAGTTTAAAATTCAAATACTTTGTGTCAAAGGCAAATGTTCTGCTACTCACTCAGCTGAAGTTATCAAGAACAAGCTGCTTGGAGTGTTTAATTCAAATATATTGTACTGTATGTTGTTCCAGCTTTTAATTCCTTTCCTGACATACTTAGAAATTCCTGCCTGCCTTTGCACTAACCCCTTGTGTGTGAAGTTATATTTCTTGAGTTTGCCAGCCCACCATGTATGTGGATGCAGAGATCATACTCCTCCTCATTTGTTTTTGCTTTTCAGTTAAATACTGTCAAAACGTGCAGGATCTGAAGTGTTTTAGTGCCCTGAGGTTTCTCTTCTTGTGCTCAATACTTACATGGCTGTTGTGCAACAAATTCTTCTTTCACAAAATGCCTGTCTTGAACAACCAGTGTTAATATTTAGGCTGGTTGTTTAAACATGTAGTGTTTAAAACTTGCATGTTTTGTTGCAAGTTTTCAAGTTGTAGCCCAGAAAGTGAAAACTCAAAGAGGGTGCTCATAAAAGCAAAGGATGTTTTTATCTTGCTCATGGGATAATACATTGATTTTTGTGTTTCAGTAATGAAGAGTGTATTGTTCCCATTGCTGGGCCCAGGACAAGGACTAAGAGCATCACATCAGTCAGAAGTGTTGGGAGCTGTTCAACCATTCCTCCAGTAAATATTATTTTGTTATGTTGTCATCTAGTTTACCCTCAGACCATCCTAAATTGCACATAACTGTTAGCCCCTGTTTCTGAAATTCTTCTCTGGCACGAATCATCTTTAAAAACAGTTACCATCTACCTCTCCAGTGTGTATCTCCATTCCCACATTAAATTAGGACTGATATTGCTGTAACTGCTTACAGGGAGTGCTTTCCAGCACTCTCCTTCATATTTTGCTTTTTGGTCTCTCACTGAAGCTCCATATCAACACTAACAACTCTCATTTACCCAATAACTAATTCATATTAATATCTGGTAATGCACTAACAGCATCAGTTCATCCATTTCTGTTGCTAGCCACAATTAATATTTTTATTTTGAATGTGGATACTTGAGTCTAGATTTAATTTTGCCTTTCTCACCTCTCTTCTTAGAGATTTCTCACATTCATTTCTGAAAGATTTCTGTGAACTCACCTTCAACAGAGATCTCTTTGGCAATTTGAATTTGACCTTCTGAATTACATAAATCAGGACATTTTCAGCAGAATTTAATGTGCTTTTCTTCAACCCCAGAGCAGGCAGTAGGTGATACGTCTACTTGGTATCAGGAATTTAGGAACACATATAGGATGTGATGGTGGAAAGACTGATGGGTCTTTCTACACCAAGTGCTGCAGTTCAGCAATAGAATTTGGTGAACTTACATTAGATTACATGTCGTAATGGTATCTGCCTTGCAGAATTTATTCTAGCAGGTGTCTAGCAAGATTCAACTCCACCATGATTAAATAGATGAAAACAATTTGATTTCTCTTTTTTGTCCAAGAAAAAATACACAAGTGTGCACTTGGCATCAGTGTGGCAACTTGAGCTGGGACCATGCCACAATCTGCAAAATCATGGCTTTGTTTTTGTTGTGGGCAGATATTGCCATCACAATGGAGAGCAGAGTTCAGAATGAGCCACAGTGCAAGTAACAGATGAGATTTCATAGAACTACTCCAGCTTGTTGGAATGGGAAAACCTGGAGGAGGAATTATAAATCACTAATTCCCCTTCTCTCTTAGCCACATTTGTGTTGCAGAGTTGTTGTTTTCTGTTAGAATCAGTCATATTTTTGTAATCTAAACTTCAGAATAACCAGGGTGCTAAAGAAACAAGCACAAGCCTAACAATTACTGCTGGGCGTGGAATATTCTGCAGTATAATCAGCTTCCACATTTTTGTGTAAGGCCTGTTTCTGCACTGAGAGGTGTGGGTCCTTTAGCATCTCAGTGGGGAACACACTTGAAGATTAACTTCAAAATTATAAAAATATTTAAAATTCTATTTATTGTAATGAAGATTATCAGAGCACACACACAGCACTCCGTGCAGACCTTGTCCATAGCAGAAAATCTCCTTTTTCAGTCAGTTGAATTGTTTTATGATTTTCTTACAAGGATAGAACTCTGTTAATTTCTAGAGTCAAGGTGAACGTCATGAGTCATGAATGTTCATGCTGAAAAAAAAATTCTGAAAAAATTCCGACATCATGTCATGTCATGTCGTACTGCTAAATGATTTAAAGAAGTTTCGATGACAAATGCGTGTTTGTTTGTAGGAGCTGGTGAAACAGAAGATAAAGCGTCAGCTGACCAAGCAGCAGAAATCTGCTCTGAAGCAACGGCTGCAAAAAGGGGAGGCAAATATTTACACCAAGCAACGTCGAGAAAATATGCACAACATTAAGTCAAGCTTGGATGCAGCCAATTTCTGGGGATAATTCATTAAAGCTCCTGTGGAACATGAGGAATGTATACAGCTAAAAGGATCATGCTAATTTACCAATAATCCTTTTATGTAAAGGAGCAATCTCTTCTATGCAAACTAGATGTTCTACTGTGAGTTAATAAATCTTATTCTCATTCCTGTGAATTTGACTGGGAGGTTGTGTTTTGTGTTTCTAGTCAAAACTGTTGACTGTAATTTACATTCTATCAGTAGTATTGATTAAGATTATGACAGGAATTTCCAGCAGTGTTTTGTCATAACTGAGTTGTGGTGTCTTTGTTGTGCAGAGGCACAAAAAGCCTTTTTCTTCAATTGTAGATGCACAATTATTTCCATAAGTGTAAAATGGAAATAGTTTCTGCTAAGTTAGCGAGAGGTGACGTTACTTTCTTTTAACTTTTCTTCCAAAACTTGGGGACTTAGTTGGATGTAACAAAACCTGATTTCATTGGCTGAAATAATCATTTAGTGCATGATGTGCCTTGTCTGCTGGAGCTTAGAAACATAAATAGTAGAAATCATTAAAATATTTATTGGCACAAGCACATTTTGAAGTGCTGTTCTATAAAACAATACTAAAGCACAAAAAACCCTACTGCCATCCAACTACTTTATTCTGAAGATAAAAGTAGCTTACAGTAGATGCAAAAAGTTAATCTTAAAATAATAATGAAATACAACTGACAGAGATCTCTAAAAGCAGTATTCAGCAGTCATTTAGAATTTTTTCAATATTTTGCTTGGCAGAGTGTTTATCCCTCATATGTCACTGCCATTTGCACAGAGTGCTATCTCAACACGATTCCATTAATATTTCTGTTTTAATCATCAGTACTGGCAGAGCTGACCAACAGGAATTTAGTCTCATTTGTGTATCCATTCTGATTAGTTTTGGAGTTGTTTGGTTGATGGTTTGTTGGTTTGTTTTGTTTTTTTAATATTCAGTGTCTTCACATGACCTGGACAGTACTCAGTAGGCAAGAAACCCCAAAACATTAACAAACCCTAGAATACAATCCCTACAGACACAGTGCTCATTCTTAGCGCCAGGAGCCCTTCACAAACACCAGTACATTTATCTTTCTAGTCACCATAAGCTGATGACACCGGCAGTTTATATACAGACACAAATGGGACGGGGCCACTGGGATCAGCGTCCTGAGCTATTTATTTTCAGCATCAGTCTCATTACAGGGTTATGGCAATGAAGAGATGCTAACAGCTCGCTGGTCAGGCAGCAGGGCAAAGAAACTTAATGTTACAACATACCATAAATGTGTCTCAGCCAATTACATAGAGCAAAAGCATACTGACAGTAGTTCTATCCAATCACCTTAAGCACACGTAGCTTTGGTTAAAACAATAGTGGCCTATTCTCAAACACAACGGCTCGTTTATAGGAGACAACGAATAAAGCTCTATTCATAAGCATAACCTTCTAGATATATACTAAATAAACTTGTTGCAACTTAGAAAGGCAAACTACACAGCTCTATTGTTCTATTTCTCACGTCTTCTCTACCGCTTAGATATCTTTCTTCTGCTGTTTTAGCACTTTACGATTCCTGCTGCATCTGAGGCCTATCTTTTGTACCACCTTCCCAAAACCCTCTGGTTTTTATGGATTCCCACAGCAGACACTGCTGCTGTTCTACAAGTAACAGGAAGTGATGTAACTGGCAGTTTAGGGTGTTAAATGTGAAAATTCCAAATTCTCATTTTTACTGGCACTCACTGGCACTGGATATTCTCACCTGCGGCCCCCAGCTTCCTCCACTCTACCACTCTGCCAGGATGCAGCAGCGGCTGAAGCCTTTCCCCGACAGGAGCCGAGCGGTGCCCGGGGATGGCCGCGGGATGGGGAGGTGGCGGTGGCTCTGGGCTGCCTGGCGGGGCCGCAGCAGCCTCACCCGCTGGCAGCGGGACGTGCTCCAGGGGCAGGGACGAGCCGCGCTCGCAGCCTGAAACTCCTCCCCGCCTCCTTTTCGGCCCACCCAGAGCCCCTTCCCCGCTGCCGCCCGCACCGGGATCTTCGTGCGTGCCGCCAGTACATCTTCCCTTCCCCTGCTCCTTTGTATGGCTAAGGAGGGATGTTTGACAAGACATAACTTTGGCAGTGAATCCTCTATTTTCTTCCTTGCTCAGTTCTATCCTTAGGCTTGTTTGCTCCGTAATTCCTCTCAAAGAGGCAGAGTTCTAGCGATCTCTATTTTCTGGAGGTTCTAAATGCAAGGAAGGAAGGGTGAGAAGTTTGTAAATGATAGATAGGAATAGATGACAGATATTTGTCTTTCCATACAGTGGAAAGCGAAGTGCTAGTAGAACTCTAAAATAGGTTTATTTCTTACCATATGATTTAATTGTAATAGATATTTAGATTATTAGATCAATATTAAATACATTCCTAGTACAGTTATGACTTTTCATGTTCTATGGAAGATAAAAAGAAAACCATGCTGTTTTTAAGGAAATACCTCCTTCACAACACTGATTTCAAAAGCCAGTTGCTGTCCTTTTTTTAGATGTCTCTTCATAGGGAAGATTTTTTTTAATTTAACCACTACTTTAAATTAGCCACTCTCTTATGAAGGAATCCTCCAGGTGTCTTTTTCTATGGCCATAAATCTCTGGCTTCAGAGAATCAATTCATTTCTAAAAACATCCATCTCTCTGCTGTCACAACATGGAGCCCTGTAGCCTGCATTTTCCTCTCTGTGCTGCACTCCCTCCCAAGTAATCCCTCACGTTGGGGTGAGATACAGAGGAACCTGCTTCTGTTATCCTCACTCTACCTTCAGTGCAGGTGTGTATTTCCAGAGGGCATCATCCCCCAAGCTTTGACTCTCTGTTACTCTGAATCTGAAGTTTTCTTCATAGGACTGACAGTAAGTGACCTTTTTGAGTGAGCAAGAATTTTGCCTTTCATCTGCTTCAAGACTTTGAGTTGTGCCTCCTCTTTGCATCTGAAACATAAAACCTCATATATTTTGAGTTTGTTTCACCCTTCATGCCTTGTAACATAAATGATAGAAAGAATATAAAAGAATAATCCTGGTTATTTTTTGACCTCATTTTAATTAAACTGATGGATCATATTTTAATGTGACTTTTTAGATATCATACTACCAGAGCTATCATGTACCTAACTTAGCAATCTGAAGCCCATAAATTTTCCTGGCTTCTGAATATTTATTGGATGCAATATCCACAGTAAATTGAAAGTTTAAGGGAGGCCTCCCAGCTAGACCAAGGAGACATGAAAACAACAAAAGGAAACAATAGAAGAGACAGATACTTTCTAGTATTGAAATTGTATCATCATATCAGAAACTGTAGCATGTTTTTTCTTTCTTGAAAAACTTTTTTTTTTTTTTAATCCTGGCTGATTGAAAGCTGGAGATCATGATCATAAAATTAGCTCTCAGATGGTGCAATTTAGAATTTAATCTTGGCTTCACAAAGTGGAGAATTCCTTTCATTATTTGACTGCTGTGAGCACGTATGACAGGCAAACTTAGGCATGTGTGTGAAAAGATGTTCCCTCTCCATGCTGGAGTTGAGTTTAATGCATCATAATCAGAGTAAAGCTATCTTTTTATCTCCTTTAAAAAAAAAAGTGTGAGTGTGGCACTAAGAATAAGTGAATTTCGTTGTTCTTTCTGTTGTTCTTTCTGCCCGAGAATAATTTCACTTAATCTATATTAACATATCTTAGCTAGTGAAAAGTTTTGTAATGTTATTATCTTACAATATAAAGCATTACAAGTGTTTTTTAAACTACATATTTTCCCCACTAGTTAAACAGAAATAACTTTATTCTGTTTAATTTTCTGAAATAGTAAGTTTTAAAGGAGTAGTTTTCCTCTGCTGTAATTGTCTGTAATTTTTTTTTTTTAAATATTAATGGTGTTTCACCCCAAAGGTATAATGTTATTCCTCAATAGTGTTATGCTTTTGCAATACCCTTCTGGCTGCATTGCCAGTCCTTACCTGAAGTTACTTTGCTTATTGTCTAACTCAGACCTATAACTGACGCAAAGCCATAGTGACTTGTGATACGAGCCTAGTTCTAAAATACAACACAATAATAACAAGCAATATTTTTTCAGTACTTTCTGTTAAGATTTTGTTGGCATTTTAAAAATGCAACTCTGTGATGTCTTTCATTCTGTCTCTTCTCACACTTTACACTTCCAGAATTTAAAAAAAGAAAAATATAGGAAGATGTATAGAATGTATTGGGAGAGAAAGGGGTGGGAGTTGCCTCTAAAAGAAGCAAAAGAAACCTAACATGGACACTTGTAACAAACCCAGTTTTATTGATATCTCATGGAACAATTTCTATTTATTTCAGCTGGATTAACTAAGGTCTCCCATGGAGGAAAGGAAAAGCTCCTGAATGTATGGGACATGCTTTTTCCTTCAATATTTTATTTTTAGCAATAAATGCAGGGTTTTGCAATAGCTTGGTAAAATCTTGGTGCAAAATTCTAGAAAAAAAGCAATACAGCACTGTCACATAGGGTCAAGAACTCTGCAATAATCAGTTAAAATAAAAAGTTGAGGAGAGAGTTATGCTTAACAGACAAATTTGGACTGAGGTACTCACTACTAATCTGCAAGGAAATATAAAATCTTATATTAATAAAAATCTAATATTTCTGTGTCAAATTCATCCTGGTTGAGAAAAGTTGGGTGGAGAGTTTAATTCCAATAGAAGGGGAAAAGGATGGTTGAGTTCTGTGAGTTGTACATGGACAGAGCTGCAACAATGCTAGACAAAGGGAAACCATGCAAGACAAAATAAAGGGTTTGTGATGGATCTCAGGCAGGGGCAGGCGGGGATGCTAAAAAAACAAATTGACAAGTGAGGACTATTAGGAATTCAATAAATAGTTGTTCTTTTGTCACATTCAATGCCTAATGACAAGCTAATTCTATACCACTTCCTGCCTGCTTTTACTTCTGTTAAAACAGTCTCACAGAACTTTACCTCACCAGATCTATTTTGGAACAGCACTGAAAAGTACATGGAAAACCAGTTCTATAGTGCAATATTTGTATCTGCAGGCAGTTTTTGCAGGTGGCAGCAGTCCTTGGCAATGAAAAGAGAAATGACACTGAAATGCTGGGCATGCAGGAAC